GTGTCTTGTTAGGTTGTGAATTTCTGTTCCTTCCATTTTCTTCATGTGTGTTTGTAGGGATATAAATTCCCCTCTTACTACAGCTTTCAGGGCATCCCAGAGATTTTGGTAAGATGTTTCTTCATTTTCATTTGTTTCCAGGTATATTTTGATATTTGTTTTGATTTCATCATTAACCCAGGAGTTGTTTAGCATGTATTCATCCTTTTAAATCAATACTTTCAATAATTTTATCTCTATAGTGCCACAAGAAAAGCTTTGCAAGAGATTGTTTTGAAAGTATTAATATAAAGTAAAGCCAAGTTTGCTGATTCTACCCCACCATGTTTCCAAGACAGAACAAAGTAATCAAGAATTCAATAAAGACGTTTGCAAACTGCAAACCAAAGGCCCTTCTTGTATCATTTTCACTTACTGGTGGCAACAACAACAAAAAAAGAATGTATTTACTTCCACTTTAAAGTGTCTGAAATCCAAAGTTCAACTTTTCAAAGAAAATCTTAGCCTCTCATCTGTAAAACAAACATAAAATATTAAACTAAACCAGCAAATGTTTACTTATTTCAAAAAGCAACATTTAGTGTATTTTATTTTCAATTCCTATCTTTAATCACTTTTTGCTTGCTGTCTAGAGAGTTTTTGTTCAAAACAGAGTTTATGTATGCAAATCCACTTGATGAATCATTTTTTATTGAATGACAACGAATGTCAGGCTCTGATCAAAACACTAGACAATTTCTTTGCCTACCCTTTTCATGAACACTTTAGTACTCACAACAGTGGCACCTCAAAAATTTTATAGTTCATCAATAATTCAATCTAAATGCATAAAGAGATAGTTGATGCTAGTGTGTAGATAAGCTGTTAATTTTTAAAAATATGTCTATAGATTTATTCTTTTTTTAGGAAACACCTAAAGATAGCACTACGTCTTACTTTCAAATTACCATAATGGTGCAGTCAATAACTATCAAATCTGCTAGCAACCAATAAAATATACTGCTCCTAAAAAGCAGACTAAATAATTGCAAATCTCTAAATATTTAACATATAACTAATTTCATTGTTTTCAGTGCCTCAAAAACTAATGGGAAACCTATATGTCCAGATATATAAAATAAATTATTTCTAAACAATTAGGAAAACTAAGACTTCTCTCACTAGTCATTACTTACTACTGATGGGGTTCAGGACACATTACCCCAAAATATGGCACCCTGGCATATAAGGAAACAGCAGAAGCAAAAAGTTCTTTCTGACTTCCTCCCCTGAATTATGGCCATAAAAGAATTATCAGACATTCCTCTAAGCAGGGGTCCACAACCTGTTAGGAACAGGGCCACACAGCAGGAGGTGAGCAGTGGACCCACAAGCGGAGCTTCATTTGTATTTACAGTCACGCCCCACCACTCACATTACTGCCTGAGCTCTGCCTCCTGTCAGATCAGTGGCCACCTTAGATTCTCATAAGAGTGGGAACCCTATTGTGAACTGCACATGTGAGGGATCTAGGTTGCATGTTCCTTATGAGAATC